AGCGGTTCTTGAAAGAGCTCTCTCAGCCCCACCTACCTCACAGGGTACCTGTTGTGGGGAGGGGAAGGGAAAGGAGATTGTAAGACACTTTGAGACTCCTTTGGGTAGTGAAGGGTGGGGGTATAAATACAATCTCTTCTTCTTCCCAAAAACTCAACAATTTGCTAGTCCTTGAGATTTTTTTAAAAAGGCTTTTTTGTAACTTATGAGCACTCAATGAAATTGCTGAGCAGTCGGGTTAGAACAGATAAAAGGAAGTACTTCTTCACCCAAAGAGTGATTAACACATGGAATTCACTGCCACAGAGGGTGGCGGTGGCTACAAGCATGGACGGCTTCAAGAGGGAATTAGGTAAGCATATGGAGCAGAGGTCCATCAGTGGCTGTTAGCCACAAGGTATCCATAGGAATTCTCTGTCTGGGGCAAGTGACGCTCTGTATTCTTGGTGCTTGGGGGCGGGGAGGCAACAGAGGGAGGGCTTCTAGTTTCCTGGCCCCACTGCTGGACCTCCTGATGGCACCTGGTATTTTTGGCCACTGTGTGACAGAGTGTTGGACTGTAAGGGCCATTGGCCTGATCCAACATTGGCTTCTCTTATGTTCTTAGCACCAGAAATTTGGCACATTTGGCACTAAGAGGAAGTACAAGGGGACAAAACTACATAGGTGACAGTCACCATTTGTATGTGGAAGATCAAAAGGCATGCTCTTATTCTAGTGTGCCGTGGGCTCTGAAGCCCAGTGGCTGCGAAGGGCCTGGATAACAGCAACAAGAAGCAGTGGTGGCACATGAAAGCCTTGATTAAGGGTGGCCAACGGGCTAATGCTGGGATTTTCTATGTAAACACAGAGTCAATAAACACTGCAGAACACTTGCATTAGCTTTTAAAAAGAAGCTCTACTAATGAGGGAGGGAGTTACTGGGAGACGAAAGAAACAAACAATACAGAATCATCATCTTGACCAGCTGTTCTATCCTGCATCTTTACTTAAAGATAAAGGTAAAGGTTCCCTTGCTCGAAAGCCAGTCGAGTCTGACTCTAGGGTTGCGGTGCTCATCTCCATTTCAAAGCCGAAGAGCCAGCACTGTCTGAAGACGTTTCCGCGGTCATGTGGCCGGCATGACTAAACACCAAGGCGCACGGAACGCTATTACCTTCCCACCGAAGTGGTACCTATTTATCTACTTGCAATTTCTTGCTTTCGAACTGCTAGGTTGGCAGGAGCTGGAACTAGAGACAGGAGCTCACTCCGTCATCAACCTATGGTATCACCATAGGTTGGCCGTGAATGTGACGGCATCCCCCACTTCCCAGTGATGATGGAGTCTTGTTTGGTGAGAGCCAGTTTGGTGTAGTGGTTAAGTGTGCGGACTCTAATCTGGGAGAACCGGTTTTGATTCCCCACTCCTCCACTTGCACCTTGGGCAAGCTATAGTTCTGTCAGAGCTGTCCTTGAAAAAGAGCAGTTTCTGTCAGAGCTCTCTCAGCCCCACCTGCCTCCCAGGGTGTCTGTTGTGGGGAGGGGGAGGGAAAGGAGTTTGTAAGCCGCTCTGAGGCTCCTTTGGGTAGTGAAGGGCAGGGTATAAATCCAATCTCCTGCTCCTCCTCCTCTTCTTCTTCTGCTTTACAAATCAGCAGTCTCATTTCTGGACTCATAGGAGGGCTGAGGGCATCGTGGTGACTCATTGGGAGCTTCAAGGTATCCACTTGGGTAGTTGAGAATCTCCAGTCTCAGGATCTCGGTTTTGCTCACCCTCATAGCAGTCTGAGAGCTCCTCCCTTTCAGACTGGACAGTTGAGAGCTCCTCCCTTTCAGACCGGACTTTGGCAAAATACGACCTAAGCAATACCTTTGGATCTCAGTCAGGGTCCTAAAGACAATTCTGAGCCCCACGGTCATGACAGCAAAGCGTCCCGGTTGGGCTCGGCCCCTACACCTGTCTGTTTAAGAATCAACCCCTGTGAAAAAGAGGGGGGGGAGGATTTGTGTTTAGTTTAGTCCCCTTGCAAATTTGATGGAGTTTTTCTGCAATGAGGGGCAGAGAGCGGCAAACGGGGAAGCTCCAGTAGAGCTTCACATCTCATTAGTAGCTCTGCCACGATGTTTACAAGGTGGTCCAGGCAGGTAATGGTCATTTGTGTGGCTGCAGAAATTGGGGGGAGTTGTTCTAATGACCTGTTTTGCAAAGCTGCCAGCCGGTCGTGGTCTCTTGGCATTTTAAATAATTGGGAATTTCTGATAGGGATGGTTGTTATGGTGTGTGTGTGTGTGTGTGTGTGTGTGTGTGTGTGTGTGTGTTTCTAGAGCTCTTAAAAAGCTAGACGTATCTGCAAGAGCCAATTAGCGATCCTGGGAAAGAAGGGACAGTTTTGATTTCAGTCCATAGCCCATGAACATCGGTGACCTTCTTTCTGTTGGAAGAAGAAAAATAGGGGGTACAATACAAGCGAGACAGAAATCCAGGAGATCCCTCATGGGTGTTTTAGAAGGATAAGAACATAAGAGAAGCCAATGTTGGATCAGGCCAATGGCCCATCCAGTCCAACACTCTGTCACACAGTGGCCAAAAATACCAGGTGTCACCAGGAGGTCCAGCAGTGAGGCCAGGACACTAGAAGCCCTCCCACTGTTGCCCCCCCCCAAAGCACCAAGAATACAAAGCATCCCTTGCCCCAGATCGATAGTTCCTATAAGAACATCAGAGAAGCCAATGTTGGATCAGGACTGAGAGTTCCTATCTATACCTTGTGGCTAATAGTTACTGATGAACCTCTGCTCCGTATGTTTATCCAATTCCTTTTTGAAGCTGTCCATGCTTGTAGCTGCCACCACCTCCTGTGGCAGTGAATTCCATGTGTTAATCACTCTTTGGGTGAAGACGCACTTCCTTCCCCTAGTGTATCTTCAATGTAGAAGTATCTTCAATGTAGTGTATCTTCAATGTACCCCTGTAGAGTATCTTCAATGTCAGACATTCCTTGGTATTCTTTTCCTTCACAGAATATACATGTTGATAAAGTCAAACATGTCCCGATGGTTACTACAGTGAATTTCTTAGAATCCATGGGGGGATTATAGGTAGAGATGTGAAGGCCCGGAAAAAAACCAGGAAAATTCAGGGGGGAAACATTTTTT